TTTCTTTTCAATGACTAACTTATCGTCGCCGCATCAACGTGTAGCGAGATGTTACTTTACCACCATGCTAAAGAACGAAAGACTGGGGGTCAGTGTTCTCAAGCAGTTCCCAGGGGAACTGTGTAATCACACTTGTTAGCTAGTTATGCCCCTAACTGCTTTTTGAGCCAGCTTATTTACTCAAACATTCCGATTGGCCCCTCAAGCAGATCAACATTTACCCCACCGGCCTGTGAGTCGAGTTGTAAGGTAGAGATAGGAATCCTCGAAGAACGTCACTCTCTTGGAAGGGGCATTCAAAGGCTACCATCAGTTCATAGGACGTCGTCGCTAGTCACCTCTCTCAGTTATAGTCCTACCTATTTTCCTGTTTGCCAGTTACAGAACACTACTAACTTCATAAACCACTATATAAGGGAATCTAAGTCATCTTTCACAACTGGAGTACTATTCCACATTGAACCTTCTAACATTCGCACATATTGTCTGATCGGTCAGCAGACGACACCTGTCATGCCTTTGCACTCGCTCGCAGTTATGTACACTGCGTCCAAGACACAAATGTAGAGGATAACAACGCTTACCAAACGCGCGTTCCAGATGACTCTGCTTGAAACTTCATACGACTGATAATGTTGAGTCAATAACTCACGGTATATGTTGTGTTGTAGTCTGTCACTCTTTCTCTCAACAGGTGTGTATACGTTGCTCCACTTGACTGGATCCCGGTGAATAGCCCCATGTGTGTCATTTGACTTAGAAGCTTCATCGAAGTTTACAAGCAGTGGCTGAAGGCAAGGTGCTTCAATGTCATTTCGGCCTTAACTGTCACACACTGCAGAAAGGAAACAGCCAAAAATACGGATATCATCATCATTGCAGTGACATGAATGCTCAAGTGAGTCACCAAAGGCCGTTCCGGTGTTGTCGCGTCGTACTGACAATAGTTACCGCCTTCTTCGGCTGTGCGTCGAAGCAGCAGTTTTCCAGTACACGCGTTCGCAGGGAACTACATGAGCACAGAGTAACTGGTTACCCGGGAATCCAATTGATCCCATCGGATTAGTTATACAAGGGGCATGTCAACATAAAGATATCGTTCAAGCTAGAGCACTTGCCCTGACTATGATCATGCTTTCATGCGCGCCAGCCAAGAGCCCAATCTTCCAGCCTCGACGAAAAGCTCACTTTCGAAAGTACTTTCTTGTTAACAGAATCGCCAATCCCCTGGCGAGAAAAATAAGTCTGAACCGCAGCAGAGTCTATCACCGATGAACGAGTGCAGACTGGAACCACCGTCCAATGCACAATACAAAGAGCGCTAGAGGCCGCTTGCTCTCATAACTCGGAGCGTTTGAATAGTGGGTACATTTCTAGAACTTCGATTAGCCCATTGAGGTGGGGAAGATAGTTCCGCTGGAATGTCGGTTTCAACACTGAAACGTCACCTGGCTGGGAGTATCAGATGACAAAGAGAAAGTTGGTGGATCGAGAAGACGCGAGATCCAGAACGACAGTGTCATTGTAAATGAGCGGGTGCCTTTCCAATTTGATCGATGCGCAGACACAAGAAAGGCTCCCGTGATTGAAACTGAAAAGAATGAACGACTGATCCGGTCTCAAGCACGCCGACTAGAATGCTAGACAGCCTGGTCTAGATGGTCTACAACCATCGTTAATGAAGGGTGTTGGGGACTCATAAGCGACTGTTTCAACTTTTCTGTTGACACTTATTCATGAAAGGAGGAAGTGCCATCCGACTAGCGGTTGTTGACCGTCATTACAATCTGCAGAAATGCCAGAGAAAGTCCTACAAAAAATATCGTGGCACTAGTCTGGCCTAATACCCCAAGTACCCAAACATGGGAGAATCGCTCAAAACGATGAGTTGGTTTACTTGCGTTAGTAGCTGGTTGACCTTTGGTGGTTGCATCACCGAGGAGAAAACCGTCAGCATTCCTGGGGCTTGAAGGATTTTCATATCCTCCGTCACTTGCGTAGATAGGATAGTATAAGTATATTGATCAACTGATGGGTTTTCACGAAGGCGAATGGCTAATGTTATTATTTGGATTGGAGGTTTGGCTTCTGTTCACTGAGGGTAAAAAGAGAGTGACTGTGTTTGACCATCGATAGCTGCCAATTAGTGTTCATAACTGGAGGGAAAAACGGACAAATAATATTGAAGTTTATCATTTTGCGTTTGACAACAGATCATCCAGTACCTCAGTAGAAAAAAGGCAACAACAGTACTCCGGTACGCAGTACCGGCGCATGCTGTCGCGCAACTATCAACAGTCTCACATGGGGTTAGGATATTACGAGGGTCGCTCGATTCTCTACGCAGACTGCAACCCGCGACTTGCGGGTAAAAGGGCAGGTTTGTGATCCTTTAGGCCAGTGAGAGTAGACTGTGCGTTGAGCTGTTGGCGGGGTCATGTATTTCGCATAACTTTGGGACTGCAGTAATGGCGTGGTTTAGTTGCCAATACTGCATCTAGTGGGATAGGTCCCGGGTATAACCAATCAGTAACAGGGCAAATGATATGGAGAAACTCACCGAAAGACTGAAACTAAATAAATAAAAATAAATAGTTTTGTTCTCGATGAAAGAAGACACGCCAGTACAATCATGATCAAGTGGTTGACAGCCACAGAAACACAGTGAGCGTATGTACAAGAAACATTAGAGGCAAATGTTGGCAAAAAGCATGGATCGAAGAATGGTTCATATTTTTCGCATAGAAATGTTGCGAAAATGATGGGAATGTTCATTGATGTCAGAGAGAGATATGGCGCCGAAGCGCCAGAAAATGTATAATGTTGCAGTTAAGGAAAATCTGGGTGGGGGTGGGTTCGTATGATTCCCGGAGATTGACCTCCGTTTCTCCGTGGAAGTAGGAATCCGAGGGAATATTTGATAAACACTGTTGGACGAAAAGCTGAAGCAAGAAATTATTTGTTCATATGAAGTTTTGGTCAGGAGCTTCGTATATTGAGATCATTGACAGTGTGAATCAGTGGGCAGTGACTTTATTTTGATGGCGAGTCACATCCGCCCCATCGCAGTGTCGTTAAACAGACATTTGTGGCTTTTTATAGGGAGGACGCTTCCCGGGCGAAAATCCATGTTGTCTTTCTGAATGGAGAAAGGAAAGTTTGCCGAATATGGCTAAGTCACGGGATCAGTGGTGGTGGTGTATTCGTTTCCTCACCTCGGACGCTTGATCATCCTAGCTGGCGAAAATAGCTCTTATTTGTCCATCCTTGCATTATTAGTAGTAGGGTGATTTGGGCGAAGTGCGCCAAATTAACTGAACCCACTGTCGGTGTGCAGAGCAAAACCCATGAAGTGAACTGACTTGACGAACAACACTGTTCCCCTATTGGAATGTGCTAAAATATAGATTTCCGAAATTCTTTTACACTAAGCGGTTAGGATAAACTGTGACTCCAAATGATCGCAGGAAATGCTGCTGATATTGAGAAGTGACGCCGAAATCAAGAGGGAGGAAACAACTGCTCCGAATTTGCATTTCAAGGCCTTCCGTGACAAATAGTCTCTCCAAAAATGCGGAAATCCAAACTCCGAGATTGTAGTTTTATGACTGATGATCAGGATCCCGACCTGTGTATAAGTCAACGAAACAATTTACCCGAGGATATGCAGCGATTAGCAGTAAATGGAAATTTAAACCAGTGGTGGAAGAGCTTCAAGAACACCAAAGTTTGTGATTGGCATGTAAATTGGGTGAAATTGGCGATCACCATCATTATTATACAGCTTAGCTGCAGGTGGAAAACACCTCAGCTATTGTGCCGGATAGATATCGTTCCGGACAGCTAGCAGCCGACTATCGTGCCGCAAATAAGTTACATTATGTCCAAAAATTGGGATCGTGGTTGATGAGAGAGGCTAAGCGGGAGAAGGAGGAAAAAGAAACTCACAACGCAAACGCCAATGAGGTCGACTCCTAGTCATGTCAACAAGTGTATCCAGCCAAACGTGTTCATCGCCCTTCGGTCCCCAACCAGAGAGCCTAGAGGCTCCAACCGAGGCCAACTTCGAAGTAAGGGCCTTCAATTTTCTTGACCAAGTCATTGTTTGGCCATCTCTCCTCTTTTCCATCCGCACTCCCGACGCGCAAACAACGCAAGTCGCGGGAATCGGTGGACTGGCATGCGCAGCATGTGGCCAAGCCATCGGGGTCTGGTGCGTGATATGACGGCGCTAAGCAGTTCGCTTCTTCTTCATGCGCCACGAATAAGGCGTCGAACGCGCTCATTGCTCACATGCTGTTCCCACCAGATATGAGCCAAATTATGAAGGCACCGGTGGTCGAACGTAACTAGCCTGATCTACGGAGTTAGGTTTCACAATCGCACAGTAGGGCCGAACGTACGGCTGCATTGCACCCTCCATCCTTCGGGGAGAGAGTGATGTCGCGAAATAACAAGACAATGGGAAAATCGGGACGGTTGGGCTCTACGATCGAGTACTGTCGAACAATAACCCAGGACCAACGCAGAAGAAAAGACTGCTGGAGTTCACGAAGTAGACGCATAATAATAATTTCTTAGTCTAATAATGAAAGTACTGAATCAAGAGGTATGTCACTGTATACTTCCAACTACGGTAAACGAACTGTGGTGGATGGCCCGAGTGCGTTTGAGCCATCATGTCTTCGACAACTGTATATCAAAACGTTGTGCAAAAAAGACCAATGGGTAGTGTGGCAGCAATCGCATGTGCTAGTGGGGTGTACCTGTACGTTAGGTACAAGGTGAAAAAAGCTACTAATGAGGACCCACAAAAGTGCAAGAACAGAGGTGAAAATAAAACGCGCGAAAACACCTGTGCATCAGCACGGGAAGGAGATAGATAAACGAAGGACGCGCAATAAGATTAAGCGGTGCGTTGCCTAGCATCATAAGTGACAACTTAAAAGGTGGTAATTCCCGAGAAAGCACGGAAAATCGCAATAGAGTCGCAAGAATACCTGCTTGATCAGACGCTGTTTTTCTTCATGATCCGCTTCGTTCGAGTCAAAATCGAGCTCCGAAGCTTCAAAAGTAGCAGCACAATCTCCTTGAAGTGACATTTAGCTCAAGATTCGGTGAGCCACAACATGCGCAGATGGAGGAAAGTTGGCACACCTAAAATGATTTAGTAAAAGACATCATCAAGTTGGTGGTGCGGCAATTATTAGAAAAGCTAAAACAAGAATCAATGTGGAAGATGCAGACAAAAAGTCAATTGGAAACGCCACAAGATGGCAGCAGCTGTGCTTCCTGATCGTTTGTAAGTCAGCGTGAGCTCTATTGCCTGCAGGAGAAGTTCCTAGTAAGCCATAATGAGGGAAACGAATAGCCATACACCACGCTAGTCGTAAGTTCGGAAAAAGCACTGTGTGTGACGAGCGGCAAGTTTGTATGCGCGGAGTTAGATGCTGTTGAATGTCGAGAGTTCGATACTGTTTAGTAGACCGGAGTCGACAGCTGTGAGCATTAAGTGGGATGAGCTAAATAAACTGTTTGAAAAGGTTTCTTGCGATTTATGAAGTGAGCAATTTGCACATTGGTGTTTGTCTCAGTTCGCGTCGCGTCCCTACAGAATAAATCACCTTGGAAAAAGCTATACAACTCGTCTATCCGGACCCCGATCTGATGTGCAGATGCGACGTTTCCACAGCCATAAAGGAAACGAAAAAAGCAGTGAAGCTATGGGCTCCAACTGAGGTGTTGGTGGTTTGATCGCAGACAAGTTAGGGCTCAGCGGGGGTAAAAGCTGCCAATACATGTCGCCCAACTTGAGACACCGCGCCAACACTTTTAAAAACTGGATGCGGATAAACGGAGGTTCCGGTGCGGCAACCAGTCGTAGTTCGTCATTTTTCGTCGGCAACTGAAAGCTAATAAATGCCTCAGAGTTATGGTCGTTGGGCTGTAACGCCTGTGCAGGTAAAGATAATATAAACTAAATACGTTCACAGGTGCATAACATATGAGGTCGATTAAACGATTTGTAAGACATCTGTATGGAACCGATGTGACTGGCCAAATTTCAGAAAAACGGTGGGAATATGGCCACACGAATGAAACAGCAAAGGAGCAGCATAAGTACGCCGGTACACCGCACCGACGTTTCGCTGTCACGCGACCACTACCAGTCGTGACTGGTAGTATACTGCGAAGTTGCTTGCACCTACGCAAATTCGAACCGATGACCATTAGATTAGGGAAGACAATTATCATTTCCTGGACTACCGCCTAATTACCTAACAACTGGAGGATGGAATAAGTGGTGAGCAACTCCCCTAACTCGAGAGGCTGATGCACGTCACCTCTATGTGAGACCACGGGGCAGATACACCAATCAAATGGATACTGTGCCCGCTTAACTCACAGCATCAAAGGTTGGCGGCTACGTAAGTTGACTTGTTTGTGGCAGCAAGATGAATGACAATGAGGAAAGGCAGAAAAGTGCTGTTTCGCCCCCCTCCCTCTCTGAGTTGAACAATTATGAGTAAAAATGGAGCATTTCCGATAGTTGAGTGTTCCATGGAAACACGTACCCGGATCATCCCAAGTAGTAATAGTAGAGTAGTGTGTCAGCTGTACGCCATAACGGCGCTTCGCCGATGCGCGACCGCCACCAGTCGCGAGCGGGCTGAGTATACCGCGAGGACGCCCACCTCTAGGCGGATTCGAACCGGTGACCTTATGTGTGCAAACAAGGCGCGCAGACCATTCGGCCATCGGCCGACGAAATCCGTGCGCCAGTTTGTCACGAACAACAAAGTGATAGCCCATTTCAATTGAGTATTTCAATGGCTTATCGTTGGCGCCGACCCGTAGCCTTAAGGATCACAAGCCTGCCTTGTAATCTGAGGGTGAGTTCGAGCCTGTGTAGGGAACAGGGCGACCCACGCAGTATTCTTCGCCCACATACGACTAGCGGTGGTTGAGCGGCAGCGAAGTGCCGGTACTGCACACCGAGGTACTGCTACCTCATTCACTTATATCGTTAGCATGCATTCGTTGAATTAGCAACTGGACCAATAAAATAGGCATCTGCAGTACGTTGGCACGCAGTACTAACGTTTCACTAGCGCGCAACCATCACCAATTGAATGTGGAATAAGGATACTGCGAGGGTCGCCCGGTCCCTACACAGGCGCGAATCCGCGGCCTCTGATTACAAGGTAGGCTTGTGATTCTTAGGGTTACGGGCTATATATGGGAGTTTCAAATGGCTGCAGTTTAGCTCCTATCTGGTGGAAACACCGCGTGAGTAACGAGCGTGTTGGTCGTCTTGCTTGAGGTGCATGGAAAGTGAGTAAATAGCACAGCGCCGTTATCCCACGCGTTGGACTCCGATGGCCGGGACATGCGGCACGTATACCAGTATACGGACAAAAGCGAGGCACTTTGCTTGTGTGTCCCTATTCCAGAGGAAAAACAGAAGAGGCCAACCGATGACTCAGCCAAGAGGTATGAAGGCTTTAACGTTGAACTCTGTGTCGGTTACATAGGTGAAGTTGGCGGCATTTAATTCCCGAGTTGTTCGCCTTCGTAGGACAACCACGGGACGTCTGCGTCTACAAAGGCACCGTGAGTGGTTGCGCTGCACCACTTACGTACCCCACATCCAGCGTAAACCCAAAGGAATAATATCAGGGGACATGCGGATGGGAGCCATCTTTCTTCATCGGAGCCAGCCCACACTTTTACAACATGTACAGTAGCAGCATTCCTGTTTATCTAGTTTAAGAATCATGCGTAGCAAACGTACACAGGGCGATGGCTGGGCCGTAGCCCGCTCCACACTAGATGGAACCACGCGTTGAGTGCAGCACTGCACGAGGACCGTGCACCTCATCTCCCCAAGCAGCCAGTGAAATGGCTACCTGGATTTACGACAGGTAAGAACCTTGTCAATATTCACATCAAACGCAGTCACACCGTGAATTTCAATCAACACACAACACCTGAAATGCAAGAAAACCAACGCACGGGCACACGTACAGATAAACTACAGCGAGGATGTAGCGCATGTGGCACATCGACCGCATTATCGGCCTTGATTAGTAAATGGAATCATGCGTTATGCTGGAAATGCTTATCTATTCAGTTTACTCGTCGCCCTTCCGTTGTTGGTCACCTGTGGTCATGCTGGTGGCTTACCAGACCGGCGTAGCTGAGATACCCCTGACTGCATGCACTTCACGTCAATGGACTAAACTGCATCAGCGCCTGTCGCTTCCGTACGAAGCGCCGACGGTTCGCTGCCGTACAGAAGAACGGGCAGCACCTTCGACCGGTACACCAATAGCATCGTACCAACAGTCAGCTGGTGATTCTTTCACCCCTGTTTTCCCAGCTTGCAAAGTGCAGCAGCTGCTTTCGATTTGTGGATTCTCGGCTCCTTCGTTATTTGCAGGTTAGTAGAAAGTACGCTCTCTGAAAAGCAAAATTGCGATGTGGTCTGCAAAACCGCATTAGCAATCTGGATTTGCGGCGAGCCAAAGGATTCCATTCCTGGTGAAGGCTAAAAAGACAAATAGTCTCGTTTGTGTTGATGGTGAGTGCGAACTTGGCCGCTGTGGAAGCGAGAACCGAAGTTATGCCCTGCAACTCATCTGCGCTATGTGCAAACATCGCACAGTGGCCGGCAAACAGCAACATAGGGATGATTGTCCCACAATCTAAGGTTCTCCCACCGTAATGAAGGAAGTTCAGCAACGCACCGTCAATACGGAGCTCCACATAGACACCGCAATCACAAGCCGCACCAAAAACACAAGACATCAATGCATGGAGGTAAATATTAAACAGGGTATTGGCTAAGACAAAGCACTGCTTCACACCAGAAACAACGGCAAAGTCATTTGAGGTGTGTCCACTCAGCTGCACCCTCATCCGCATATCACTGTGCAGGCATTCGATAAGCTTGCAAACTTGCTCGGACAACCAAACACCAGCCACAGTGCCTCGCGGTTCAAAGTGTCAAATGCTTTGGTTAGGTCAACAAACAGCGTACAATCGCTCGTTTCGCTCACGGCACTTCTCCTGCAAAAGACGAGCCGCGAACATCAAATATATCGTGCTGCGTCTCAAACGAAATCCACATTGCTCTTCCGCCACGCTTGGTTCGAGGACCGGAGAACGAGGCGGTCGAGCAAGATTCGGGCGACCACATCCCCCACACAACGCAGCAATTTAATATCACGATAATTCGTACAACATTGTTTGTTCCCTGTGCACCTGTACAGTGGTAGCATAAAGGCATTTTTCCCGTCGGCCGGAACTTCCTCTTCGATGCAGACGCGTTGCACTAAGAAGTGCAAAGCAGTTACCAATGCGGATCTGCCATATTTCAACACTCCCGGTGATGCCCCGTGGGCTCCGACGCACTTGCCGTCTCGTAGTTGAGCAAGTGCTCTCTGCGTCTCATGCAATGTCGGTGTGTCTAAAAGACCCTTCTTCATCTCTTGTTGTTACAGCATGTGCAACGTAGCCCAGGCAATTTCCGAACGACTGTTCAAGAGACAATCGAAGTGTGTGCGCCAAACCTACATTATATCCACAGTTTGTGCGCAGGCAGCGCCTGAAGTAGCATCCACCAGTGTCCTCAGCGACTGCAAGGTGGTTCCAAACATTGCCATCAAGGAGTCGAACAACTTATGTTGGCGGCGTCCGACGTAGTATTCCATTTACTCTGCATTCACATGCATACTTGATGCGACGGTCTCGAGAAAAACGCCAAAGCAGATCGCGAAACAGTCTCCTTCAGGAAGTTGGCAGGGTCCTCCACATGCGTAGCAAAAGCTACCTTCTTGCCCGACACTGATGCGAAAATGATCGCATTGTTGTCATTAAATCACTTGGACTTTTAGTTTGCGCGCCCGATCGTTCCCTCGGCAGCAGTAACAAGCTGTGCTTTGATGCGACGCCACAGGTCGTTGACTGAGGCAACAAAATTGAACTCACCAATACATTCCCAAGCACGAACGTTTTCTTAAGAGCACCTAGGGAACAAACATTAAGTTTGCGCCGCTGATTCAAGACAGGTTAACAATAGGTAGACTTACGAAAACAC